ATAAGAAAACAGGCACAAAAGTGAGCATATTTAACAAAAGTCTTAGACTTTGAGAAACACTGCTTTAGGACCTCAGTGTTTTCCAAACCTTATGAAGCATCTGAATCAGTCTGGTTTGGTTTAAAAATGTGTTGATACCTGGTTCCCCTGTATAATTTCTTAATTAGAATCTCTTGGAGTCTGGCCTGGTAACTTGCATCCTTGTAAGAAAGCCACACAGGATCCCATCCTTGAGTTCCATTGCTTAGTCCACCATTGAATTGCCTGAAAGCCTTGTGTCTTTCTGTTCTAGGATTGCCTAAGATCTCATTTCTAAGTGAAATACTAGAAAGCTGTTTCTTTTACTTCTCAGACATGCCCAGGTGTTAACACTGTAGTAGCAAAAAAGCATTCTCAATTTTTTTTTTTTTTTAAAGCATTCTTTAACATTGTTCTAATCAGTACTAGGTAATTTAAGGCATACACAGACACACACCAACACATTATGGGACTTAATGGCTGTTTTCATTTCTAATGTTAGCAAAGTTAAATGATAAACATGATTATTTTTACTACAACTCTGGTAGGATAAAATGTTTTTATACACTTCAGGAGCTTAAATTCAAGACAAAATATTATATATGTTTGTTTTGGTACTATTGGCTAACATTGTAATGTGACATTTTGAAAACTAGTTACGAGTTCTGTGATAGGAAGAACTGGAAAAGTGGTATTAGTACTTAGTTGTCTTAAGCATTTTGCTCAATTGAATGGCTGGAAGATGCTTTACAATGGTAATCAGTGATGGATTTTGAATAAAGAAGCTGTTCATTCTGGTGGCGTTATAATGGCTAAGTTTCATGGAATTTTAGGCATTACACAATAGTTGAAGGAGTAATAGCTCTTTTTCAAGAAGTTTTAAATAAATTGTTAAATGCTTTCTTTAAGTTTGGATGTGCTTCATGTAATCACGAAGTGTAGATGGAAAGCTTTGGCTAATAATCATTAATTGAGAGCTAAACACAGAGAACTGACAATTTTTACTTGCTCTTGTAGTAGGGTGAACATAGTATGAAATAGGTTGGAGTGTGTTAATGGTCCAAAAAAAAATATGAGTACTTTTTTATTTGTGTTGGTTTGCATTCTGTATGGCTACATTATGGCACTCAAAAACACTGTATCATCTTTGTCACCTGGTAAGGTTAGTTTGGAAGATGTGGTTGGTGGCTTGTTTCATATTATTCTGGAGCTATAGTTCTTTAAGTTTCCAATATTCAGTAACTTTTTTTTTTTCTTTTTTAGCTTGCAGAAGTTGTATTTAACTTTATTTTCCACTGCAGGTTAGCTTCTTAAGGCATGAGATTTCCAAACTGACTAGTCAATCTTCAATCACTGCCACTGAAGTAAACATTGTTGGGAACAAATTAATTAATTTAACATCATACTACATTGCTCTGGCAGTTAGATATCAGGCATGTTTTAACTGTTTTGAACAGTGCTAGTTTGCTATTCAAATTCAGGGTTATCTAATATGTAGCTTCATGCATTTAAGCCTATTTTATTATTATTACTCTAAAGTTGAATTTCCAGTTGGTTGTTAGAGAGCAAGAAGTATTTTGTATAGTTCTCAGTAGGCACTCAGGAGACCCAGGCCTACCAACTGCTGTTGCCATGTGGCTTCCTATTCAAGGAGGTGAAGAGGGGCAGGAAAGAACAACTTTTAGATGAATAATGAGGACGACTTGTTATAGACTGTTGCTATCAACAGTCATTTTCTGATTCTAATAGAATGATAGTACTGGAAATAGGTGTGATTTTTTTTTTTTCTAACCATTGTATTTTTTTGCTGAAGTTAGTTGTGGTTTACCCTCAACTATTTAAGTAAGGGTATTAGCAGCAGGACTGGTGAAGTAGCATGGCAAAGACTCTTACTACTCCTTTTGTGTAGTTGGAGAGCAGCATTCTTGATATCTGCTGCCTAAT